CGAGTTAATATTAGTAAATATACATGTTTCAATATCAATGGAGTTTCTTGACCCTAGTGAGATGAAAAACACTAGTGAAAAATATATTTCAAGACTATTGCATATCACCGCGAATATCGCGTTTTTCACCGAGTTTTACGCCACTTCACGTAAAACGGGTCGTGAAACTTTATTAATATACCATATATCGTTATTTATATATATTTAGAGGACATCTATTAATATTGGAGTTTCTTCACCCTAGTGATATGAAAAACACTAGTGAAAAACATATTTCACGACTACTGCATAGCGCAAATTTCGCGTTTTTCACCGAGTTTTATGTCACTTCACGTAAAACGGGTGAAACTCCAATGAACTATTAACACTATCATTATTATAAAAATGGAGATAAAGAAATATCATATATTAATATCTTATATTATGTAATAAGTCTGTAGGGAAGAGAAAATCCTTTCCAGAATTATAGGTGAAATCGCAAATGATGATACTCCCATACTACGCGCGTCGGGGAGCTTCCCTGGGAGGCTTGAAATGATTAAATCTTCTTTTGAATGTAGATAGCATCGTTTCGAGAAGAGGCTGGAGGAATAGATTTTCGTTTCCCTCAACTGAGTTCGGGAGTTTCCTCATTGATTATAGAACTCGAATAGAAGTGTAAAAAAACCAATGAAAATATCCCCAAAAAATTCATATTGTCATCAACACATATTCGACGACGGTGATAGTAACTATCACTAACTTAAATCTTTCAGGTATTCTCATCGAGGTTCTGCGGAGTTCGTAGATCTCCATCTCGCTTATGCGCGAGGTGGCAGTAGACTTATTCCGCTAGGGTTTGACTCATCCCGGGTGAGAGTTCCTGTGCTGGCCTATGTGGCGATCGCTAGTGGAATCACGAAGGCGCTATGTCGCTCCATCGAGAGATACTTGACCGGAAACAATAGTGGGCGTGCGCTTTTGTTTCGATTTTGATGAAATTAGCAAAATTATGGGATAGGTGCTACGGCCCTCGAGCAATGTGTTGATTTGCTGCCAATGGAAGAGCGGAAAGATGGCGTGTCGAATTCAACGATACGATTCTGTCACTATCGCGATGGGGGTTTTGGCCCCCATACCGATGCTAGTTTCTTTACGGTAGGGGAGATGGTCACATTCCGTTTTCATGGAAAATTGCGGTATGAAGTGCTGAATTTTCCTCAAGCGCATACGAAGTAGGGTACGGAATACAAATCCACCTGGGATAGCCCGACAGATTCATATCACCGTAACTGAATAAACAACTAGCATGAAAAAAAGTAAAGTGCTAGTACAACTAGCATTCGAATTGAATCGGCGACCAGAGTCTACCAAACCAGAAAACCTGCAACCGTATTATATGCGGTATATGTGGAGGGGTGTATAGTAGAGTTTCACCCGTTTTTCGTGAAGTGGCGTGATAGTCGGTGAAAAAACCCGAAATTCGCGGTGACATGTAGTAGTCGTGAAATATGTTTTCACATCATGGGTGGAACTCTATTGATATATATTATATAATTATTGATGTTATCAATTATAAGTAATTTATCATGTACGTGAATATACGAGACCACGCATTATAATGTCAACCATAATTTTAAAACAAAAGAGAATCACATTCCGTATAGGTGCTCATCCAAACGTTGTTTGAAATGTCTCAACAGTCATAGGCGTTGAACTAACCTCTATACAGTGGAGTTTCTCGACCCTAGTGGTATGAAAAAAACATCAGTGAAAAATATATTTCACGACTACTGCATATCACCGCGAATATCGCGCTTTTCACAGAGCATCACTCCACTTCACGTAGAACGGGTGGGTTCTCTGCTCGAAGTGCGCTGTCCATTATTACCGTCAGTGATGGAGGAATGTATTTTTGCTTCCCTCAGCAGTTTCCTCACTAGTTATACAAGTTCACAGACGAATTGAAGTGGAGGTTTTCGGAAACCTACAAGAATCTCTCAAAACTCCTTGAAGTTTCCATGTGTTTTCACCAACACACGTATTTTACCATGTGCATACTATACAGTTGCACGTACGTACACAGGCGCTCTGCGCCGTGAAATGGTCCTGATCCGCAGATAATAGATAAGGGTCTTGAAATTCAGGTTATAGCATGCACTGGAGGGGGAGGATCCTCACTCGAGATCCTGTGTCCAGAAGATGGATGGCGACCTGTTGATGAACTCGTTTCGGACGACGTGTCGGTTGTGGTATTCCCCGGCGACTTTATGAGTATCATTTCTGATGATAAAATTCCGGCGACGGTATGTGGGTGCAGGTGTCACTGCAGCGGATTGAAATTTCATCTGTTTTACGTGAAGTGGCGTTAAAATCGGTGAAAAACGCGATATTCGCGCTATGTAGCGGTCGTGAAATATGTTTTCTACTAGCGTTTATCATATCACGGGTGAAACTCCATGTAATTTCAATCGTTTATAAATCATACCCGTTTGTATATAGCAGCCCTCCTTTTTCCCTAGTATAGGAGTATAGCAGTGAGCTCAGCAGCTCCGGAATGTGCGGCCAAACCTCGGTAATAATAATGTAACAGTAATGTAATAATATGTAATAGTATCATCATATTCATTATTACTATTACTATTTTGCTTAGCATATTTCATAATACTGTGATTATCAATAATAAGCTACAAACGAGAAAATTTTGTCGAAAAACGTCGTTATGCACTCAGATCTTAGTGAATGCTCTTAAGTGGATTTGCACTGAGAACCGTCGCTAGGCTTCAGTGGGATTATCGAATGTTTGTGCGTAGTTGGGAAGTTGTGGTGCATAGTTCATTATTATAACTTTTTCTCGTCTATGCAGCATACTGTTATCATTAGAGTTTCAACCGGTTTACGCGAAGTGGGGTAATACTCCATGCGAAACACGCGATATTCGCGATATGAATTGAAAATACTCGGCGAATTAGCGGATGAATTATCGACACGAACGAGGAAAAGTTGGTTTCTGACATTATTATAGTTCTGAAGAAGATCGAGATGCACTCAGAGAATTTGCGCTGAGCATCATCGCTAGTATTGAACATTTGTGTATAATGGGGTAGTTGTAGGTTCACCGAGCAACGCCGGGATCAACAGGAGAGGATCGTATTTCGGTGCCTATATTGTTCAGAGCTGAGAGTAGTGTACATTGGCCGTGTAAAATGCATGGGATGTTAGATTGCGAGGGTGAGTTTCAGGGTAGGAAAAATGCATGTAGTCAACTACGTGTGTTGGTCACAATACGGAATTTCTGAAGAAATTCTTGTTGGTTTCCGTACACTTCTACCTGAATTCGTATGAATAAAAAGAATTTCGCAGAATTTCCCCAGAATGCTTATATTGTCATCAAGACATGCAATTGAAGATATGCATACTTTCCAACACTATTGAGTTGTTATGCTTATCAAGCATAGAATGACTACACTGGGATTCGAACCTGCGCTTGCCATTTCGTCGGGTGAATTACCGCGGTGGTATCTTCTGATCATATTGTTCGAAACTTACGCACTCAGTGGAGTTTCACCCGTTTAACGTGAAGTGGCGTAATATTCCATGCAAATTCAAGACGTGTATGTTTCCGCGACCGATAATACAATTGTTCTCCGCGGAGTGAATTGTGAGATATTTTTTCACTAGTGTTTCTCATATTACGGGGGAAACTCCGATGTGTGGTTGTTTCTGTAGAGGCCTTGGCTATGGACGATCTGGAGGCGTTCTGTTCGATCAAACGGAAGCGTCTCGCTTCACAACAACGTGGAGATGATGATAATTGGGTTCTCAGAACTCGAGAGGATCTGATGGTTGATATGATGGGCTGATATCATGTTTCTTTTTGTAGTTGAATTTGGGGTTTAACAGTTCTCATAGACATGCACATGGTCAATTTCCTCTGTTGGTGAGAAGAAATTGGGGATTTTTTTCTCGGTTTCTGCACATTTCTACCTGAATTCGAGTGTGAACTTCCTCTATAGTTGGTGAGGAAACTCCTATGCTCAGCTGAGGAAAGCGAACATATATTCCTCCACCGCTCAGAGGTTATGTTCCGGTTCAGTTGTGTTACCCCATCGAGCATTTTTCACTCTTATCTCGGCTCTGACAGCCTCGGGGTGCCGAGTCTCGTAATTGGATGGTTTCCGCAGGATTTATGAGCGGATTTGCTCGTTGTTGTTTCTTCCGAGCAAATACTCTTCGACGTTTCGTCGGCGTCACCGGAGCCTCTCTGATTGCGGGAGGCATGGCTAGAGATACCTTGCGAGTGAATCATTGTTGGGCTGAAGAAAAGATGGTCGGACAGAGACTGATTGACCCCCCAAAAAGAGAGCAGCGAAACCTATCGCAGGTGACCACAGCAGTGTTCTAATGCAAGATCGGGATTTGGCTGTCGCTTTTATTCATTTCTCTGAATTGAAATTTTACGAATTACTCAGAAAATTCTTTATTCCCTGCAACTCTCGCTCGGCCTACTATCACCGATAGTGGAGCTTCATTCCACACGCGGAAGATTTGATTCAGGTGATGTCCGAGACGAATCTCGGCGAAGTGGCTGAACCCCTGAGCTTCGGTATGATCTCAGGATTCTGTAGTGGCTTCTTCTTGAAAAAGGTAAGAATAGTCCCTTAAACTCACTGGCACGTCCTCGGTATTCGTAAAATTCCGTAATCTGTTCCAAGTCAGTGTTATTGAGAGCTGTCAATGACACTACTAGGCAAAGGGTCGACGTCCATAAGGATGTCGAGCTCCTTGGTTAACATGACCTGAGAAAAACTATCCCCCAGGTTGATTGATTTGATATTCTATGAGTCTTCAGCAATAAATCAATAAATATATCAAGCTGTGAACCTTCCGGTTCGCCGATCTTATAGTGAGTCGCCTCGGGTGACCGGAGCCCGACAGCAGTTGAATTCTACTGTTGATAACATGCTGTCATACAGTCTAATAAGCACGGTGCCATCCACTTGAATTATGGCTGTTGTCAAATGCGAGTAGCGAAGTTAACCTTGCACAAACTTCAACGGCAAGCACACCGAGATTCTATGCAGTTCCTCTCCACCTTGATCTACGCTGGCTAATACAAGCGTAGAAGCCGAGAACCTCGAAGAGAGGATTTGGCTTCGTCACAATACTGCATTTGCAACCTGATTCACGAGTCCAAGACGGTACCCACAGCTTCACAGTAGTTGGCGATCTGGGAGTCACACTGGGGAATCAAGTGGTACCCGATAAATCAGGAGTCTGCTTGGAACAAAAACCTTGAGGGAGAGATAGGCCAGGTATGAATCTG